AATTGCTAAGTTGATGATTGCTACTCCCACAAATCAAACATTTTCCCCTTTTCCGCCAGCAATCATTCTCAGTGTGATTCACCTTTCCACAGTATCCACAGGCCAATCGAGGAGCTACTATTGGATCTTCTCGAGAAATGTCCTTTGATCCGATCTGACTTCCTTTCATGGACCTTTCATCTAATGCTCTTAATGTCCAAGGTGGGCGAGGTGAATGGTTCACTTTTTGCACTTTGGAGACCATTATCTTTTCTCTGGATTCCTCAGGTGTGCTGTTGGATGTATCTCTTTTCCACGTTTGACAGGCTTTTACTTGGGCTTTCACATCCTCAATTCTTTGGGCCTTCTCAAGAGCCTCTGTAAATGTATTAACTTGAACTGCCGCTAATGCCTCATGGATTTCCAAATTTAGTCCTTGTATAAATCGTCTTATTCTCCGTCGCTCCGTAACCACCAATTCGGAAGCGAATTTAGACAGTCTAGTAAATTTGGTCTTATATTCGGCCACACTTAGGGTTCCCTGACACAACCCAATAAATTCGTCCTCTCTCCTTTCTTGGACTAAAGGTGGGAGATACTTTTCATTAAATTCCCTTACAAAGTTCGCCCATGTCCATACCGTCTATTCTCTTTCCCACTTGGCTTTAATTACATTCCACCACGCGTGGGCTGGTCCTTCGAATTGAAATACAGCAAAATTTACTTGTCTTTGCTCCGTGTAATTCAAAGCCGCGAAGATATTAATCATTGCCTCCAACCACTGCTCAGCTATATCTGGATCAGGCCCTCCTTGAAATTTCGGAGGTAGAAACTTTTGGAACCTCTCAAGAGCCTTATCCTCTCCGATCTCAGGATTCCGGGGTTGATTCACTGGCATTTGACCTTGTTGATCTACCAGTCTTGCCAAGATATCCGTCATCTGTTGCATTGCCGTTGCCATTTGGTCTCCAGTCACAGCTCTTGATCCCTGCTCTTGCTCGGCTGACGTTTCCCTTTCTCCTCTTGCTTCCGGGGTCCGCTCAGTTCCCCGGCCTCGACCACGTCCACGACTACGTCTCCCGTCCATAGATATGTTTTTCCTTCTCTCTTTTTTTTTCTTTTCCCCCAAAAAGGTAATTTAGTAATGAAACACAGTAAATCGACTATTGTAAGAAATTCTAGCTTTCCAAATACACAAATAAATATATACGCACATAACACGCCATATCAAAAAGACGGATAAGCAAATACACAAATACATATCAAGTTGGACAGATAATCATGTACACACAGGTATACTGACGTCATGTAGTAACAATATACAGGTAAATCAAAAGGAAAAAGTGAAGTCGTCCCAGTATCAGCCCGTCTGGTCTCTCACGTCACTTACTATCCAAACTAGATGTCCCTGACCTCTTGTGCTCATTCTAGTCAGACAAAGCCTGTTCATGTTCCCAAAATGCAAGTCTCAAGTACTTAGCAGCGCAGCAACTCTAGAGTACTCAGGCACGAGAATCCGAAATAAGATAATTCACATCTTGAGCTGCAGTCTCAAGAGTAAACTATCTACAATCGGAATTCCTACCTGACATACCTATTTATGGTCTTCAGATACCATGAGAAAGATTTAAGACCTATAACATTCGCAATTCATAGCTTCACTTAGTCCCTCATACTTATTCACCACTTAGTCCATGGTCACTCCGCGCAGAGACCACGCGAAGCAGCTATAGGTTTTATCCCTCAATCGCTTAACTTTCAAGTCAAATCGAATCCTACAGTTCGGCATCCTAAACCTCAAGCCTAGGATACACTACAGAGATCTAAAGCCTAAGCTCTGATACCACCTGTGACGGCCCACCTCCCCCTAGGGCGTACCCCAGAGTTCAGCGGGTCGCCTGCCCGGCTCTCGCCGGGACTCAGTCGTTCCTTAATCAAATCCAGAATAAATCACAAGAATAAATAGGGCAGCAATCCGATTTTAAAGCGGAACTTATATACATTGCTATCTCAAAAGGAAGTACAGCCATCAAATGTACAAAGGTTCTCACTTCACCATACAACCAACCCGTGCCAAGCACTAGGGCGAGAACCATTACAAAAGAAACAAAAGACCTAGACTAGGCTAGTCTATGCTCTCATCCTGCTCGCCGTCCCCTGTTAAGGAAAACAAAACTAAAGGGGTGAGCTAAAAGCTCAGTGAGGTTCCGAACAGCTAATCAAACAATCAATTCAACACATTAAACATGGAGTATCAATAATTCAAGAAACATTTACAATGGAAAGCAATAGTAACATTCATTAAAAGGATACGGGCTCACATGGAGCTATTCGTTCTTTCGTTCGTTCCCCTGACATTTCCCCTTATTCCTCCAATTATTTGAAATTTCCTTTTTGAGAAATAAAACCCTCGTGCCTTCGTTCGTTCGTTCATCCCTTTCCGGACATTGATCGGACTCCACCCATCCGGACGTTGACCGGACTCCACCATCCGAACGTAGCCGGACTACAAGGTAATACTCGAGTATACCAAATTCACCCAGGGTCACCATATCGCCCGACCGAGTCCGCTTATGGCTCGAGTCGATCGGTAACGAAGGGCAGGGCCCAATTCAGCCAAAAGGCTTACATTCATGCACAAGTAACGTTCCAATCATTCAATTTTTGAGAATTTCACATTTATTTAGGTCGAGTGTGATAAAGTACACACTCGCCTGAAAAAACTCATTTTAACAATCAATGAAAGCATTTAACACATTATCAATCAATAATAACAAACCAATAAGTCAAGAAAATATAACAAACAAGGAACACTCACCTAGTTATGCAAAATAACGTGCAAAATATCCTTCCGGATATTACCCTTAGTCACCAATGAAACCTAAGGTTGAACAAGAAAACATATTACAGTTTATCGAGCAGAACATTTAAGGGAAACAAAGAAACTGGACTAATTAGGAGTAAAACGTGTAAAGATGAGTTTCAAGTAAGAAGAGGGTTGTTTGAACCCAAGGATGAAAAATCATGTTTTAAAATGGAAAGCCGGTCATGGTGTTGGCCAAATAGAAACCTAGCCCTCGAGCGAAAATTTAGGCAGCACGCCCTTTGTGTTTACCTAATTTTTCAGTCATTTTGGCTTCATTATTTTTCCTCAGCCAATCCCAAAGTCATACATATCATAAATTCAAGTCAATAGCCATTCCATAGGCTCATAACATCATAAGAACAAGAATCAAAGTAATAACAAGTGCGGAAATACAATCTAGCAAAAGACAGATTTGACGTGTGGATGCGGAAATAACAAATCTGAGGCTACGCTTATCAGATTGAGGCACAACTTATGCCGTTTCGAAGCTAAGACACAGGGCTACAATGTTTATGAAGGTCACGTAGTCCGGTTTCCAATGTAACTTAGTCAAATCCTCAATTTACAGAACTAAAATCTAACTCGTCGGCTGTCTAACCGCATTGTACTGTAATGGTCATATCTCAGGTTACAAAAGTCCGATTCAGGTGTTCTTAGAGGCGTTTGAAAGCTAACTCAGAATACTACAAATTTCACGTTTTTGTAAAAAGCTAAATCAGTACGGATCCTAGTGGAAAAACGTGATGAACTGGATGAACTGACGAAAACGGAACACTGGAAATTTCCTAAAATAGTGAGGGTATTTTGATCTTTTCATGGGTTACGTTACTCCGATTGTGTTGAAATTTTGCAGGCACCTCTAAAATGTCATTTCCTACAACTTTCATGTTTTAAGACAAGGCCAATTCGGCCTCTAACATAGGGCAATAAAAACAGGCAGAACCTAGTGACAATTTTCCAGAAATCTGAAATCTTTTGGTTTCAATGATAACTTTCTTAATTTCTTACTCCACTTGCTACCAAAACCCCCTATATAACCTTGGATACAACATATATTCATCATACATCAAGTTTAGGCAGAAATTTATTAAACCCTAACTCATGTAACAAAAGGAAAAATTACCCAAAACATGATAACAACCGTAATTCATCACAATCTTGAGATGCTAAGCTAATTTAAACAAGATTAAGAGTAAAAATTGGGGAAATCATCATCCTTACTTTGCTTAGTGTCTACCAAGAGCAACCCTAGCCTTCCCCTTCAAAATTTCACCAATAGCTCACTCAATAAACACTCAAGGGTGCCTTTAATCGGTTTAGTTTCTTTGTTTCCTCACTTTGTGACTTGATTCAAGAAGAAATTGAGAAGCTTTTTTCTTGTTTTTGCTCTCTCTCTCTCTCTGATCTTCAGTAGAAATAATGAGGAAGAATGGTGCAATTTTGGGGAGAAGAAGGTTGGACAATGTCTTGGTCAATGGCCTCTAATGGTGTGACACTTGTCACAACCCTTACCAAGTAAAATTTCCTTTTCTTTTCTTGTATTTTCAGCCTCTAATTTCGGTCAAGTTTAGCTGGAATTTAGGAGATATTTTGCTCAAATATTAATGAGCTCATGTGGTAAGAAAGTGGTGGTCAAGTGGTGCGTTCAAACGGTAGTGCGCGGGACCCGCCGGTTCGCGCTGTTTTTCTTAAAAATACACGTACTAGGGTTTTTACTTCCCATTCACTAACCTTATCTCATTGCTCCTAATCACATATTATTTCTCACTTAAAAGTCACTTTTAATCACCAAATTTAATGCTTACTCTGTACCGAAAATTCATCCGGCGGAAAATCGCGAAAACCCTAATTTTGCACTAGTCTTGAAACCAAAAGTGAAACCCTACTTTCTAGGTTTATTTGCACTTATTGGGGAATGGTTGGGTAGTAGGGCTATAATAAATGATTTCTAAATAAAAAGGCATTTTGGAGAAAAATATAAGAAATTTGTGAGTCCTCACAGTTTACATGGTATTTTTCTTACTTGTATTTTGCTAAATGGTTTAAACTATGCCATGAGATAGATGGATATATTCAATGATGCACTGGAATGTTTCTATTTTCATGCTTAATAGTTGCTATTAATTCATTTTCTATCTTCTGTTGCAGCTTCTAGAAATAGCTCAAGTTCCTGATGAACATGTGAGATTCAATTTCTTCTGGTTTCTTTACCTTTTAGCGAAATGCTTTTAACTGATGGCATACTGCATGCAATCTTGTGCAATTTAAACATTGTTTCTTTAAATAACTATTTCTACATAAGAAGGTCCCAGGATTGATGTATGTAGGGGTATAAGCACGTTACATATAACCAGTTAGGTTAATCAGTATGGTTGTTTACTTAATGTGGAGTTAGATCCATCGACCTATTTAGGCAACTAAACAAGGGTATCTAGAATTAGCCCATTCTTGATGTAACATCTTTTTCTTGGGTTACACAATTTCATAGGCATCATTTTGATATTAAAGGATTATGCTGCTCCTCTTTTTTTACAGGTGAATGAATTCAAGTTGATAGGGAAGTTCAAAATTTTCAATCCCAACAACTTGTAAGTGTTATGCTTCTCATTTGAAGCTAAAATATTATTTGCTTCAAGCACTGTGGGCAATGCTTCCTTCATGGAAAATGCAATGGAATGATATATTTCTGCTATCATATAGATGGGTGAACTTGAAAGCAATCAAAAGACTTGTACAAGAAAGTGCACTGAAGATGGAGATTATTCCAAATCCAAAGGTTCTATTTCTTAACTATCCATTCTGCATTCTGCCAATGTATTTGTCCTTCTATTTAATTTTGTCTAATTAATAGGAAGTAGATGGGGTGAAAGTTCTTCAACTTGAAACTGCTACTGGCGCTACAATAAGGATACATTAACCTTATCTCTTGATATTCATTTAAACATCTTTATTTTCCATTTCTTTCCATTTAGGTTTATCAATATGGCATTTCACATTCAGTCTCCTCTCTACCAACAACCAAAGGTAAGAAGTAAAATCATTTACTTTCAGCCCCCACCCCCAATCAGTTCTTTGATCATGCTATTGAATTCTGTTTTGAATACTATATGAATTGCTATTTATTCATGCATTTAACCTTTACAGTCCGACCTGTACACTTTGTCTGATGACGGCTATGTGGTCTGCAACAAGGCTAGGAAAAATCCAACTAACCCAACTATGAATTGGGACATGAATTTAAGAAGGTTGAGATTTTAGCCCCCTATCTTTCTCCACAGGTTGAATTGTTTATATAGCTAATTGTTTTTTCACTTTTTTAGGTAGGCAACTTCTTAAGTCGTATCAAGTTTATTCCCAGTATTGTTGAACTAGACAACCTAAAGATGAGTGGTGATGGTGGTTTGGATCTGGTATCACCCTGAAGGTAATACAAACTAACTACTTGTCTCCCTATTACTCTGTTTCCCTGTTACCTTGTTTCTGAAGCTTTATGGATGTATCTGTTCCTTGAAGATTTTCTTGTGATGTGGCAATTTGTGGTTGTACAGTGGTTTGTTATTTCTTATTTAGTGTCCAAATGGCATATGCATTAATTTCTTCTTTTCTTTTTTTTTCCCCTTGTTTTAAGGGGAAAGTGACAATAACTGCAAAACCTGGAACCAAATTAGAAATTCCAGACAAAGTTGTAATTGCTGATAGGGTAATATATGCAGCCGACTGCCGTAAAAATTTGGTTCACCGATTCAAAAAAAAAATTGGTTCATGCTGCATAGCAATTTGGCTTTACATTCTCTATCTATTGCCAGGTTATAAATGGCCGTGAGGATATTTAAGAGGTCTAATTCTCTGGAAGTGATGCATAGTTTTGCCATTTTTAACGTTGAAAGAAATATTTGTTTCCATTTGTTTTCTTTGTGCAATTTTTTTTAAAGAGAAGGTACTGAAAATTTGAAAAGTGATTGACTACTTTTGAACTATTTAAAAAGATTATTTGAGAGATATTTGGTGAATTATGGTCCATAAGAAAGAATAATTGGCACTGAGAATATTTCAAGCAATAAAAGATGAAATCCCTTCAAAAGTTGTATAATTGAAATTACATTGTTGATGTTAAGTTCCAAATTTTGAACTTTAAGTATCATTAACTCCAAACTTCATATTTATAGGGTGAACTGGTGGTTTAAGAAGAATTATTCTCAATTTCGCAGAATGACGTTGGATGTTAATGTAGGAAAAATTTAATCTGATTGAAAAATTCTTTTGTAATAATCCATTGTTCATTCTCTTCTGCTTGTTATACATGTACTTAACCGAAATCGTCATTTGGTTTTTTGTAGGACTGGTTCCAAAACTGAGCTTGCTCCAGTTTCAGTTTCAACAGGTTCTCGCACTGATGCAATACCATATTCTGGGAAATATGATGGGGTAGTTGGCATGTTGGGTACAATAGAAGCCATCAACGTTCTAAAGCGGTATGTTGGCTAAATTGGCTTGACTGACTCTTGTTAGCCCTCTTGAATTCTTAAATTGTACCATGGCCCAAAATTCAAGGTTGCAGTTGTTTGCTGGTTTGCTTTACCTAAATTTTTCGCTTGTTCGATGGTAGGTAATTTTTTTATGGAGTTGGAATCTTAGAGAATTGCCTTTCCCCCCTACTCCTTTATGTGTTTCTTGGATCCTTGCTTTACTAATGCTGCTATGCAATGGTCTTAATGCTAATTTTTTCATCTTTTTTCCTTGTATGCTTTGTTCTTTCCCTTATGCTAAATATCTGGCTGTGATTGTTTGCTGCTTTTTGATGTTTTATCTTTTCTGGAGTTTTGTTTGATTTCTTTTGGATTTTTCATAAGAGATGTTAAAAAGTAGGAACAAGTTTTTGGATACAAATCTGGAGAAAGTTTGTGGAGCTTCCCACACATTCATTTGGCAACCAAGATACACGTGATGCTTTGTCTGCAGCAATCCACCATGAGAACAAAGCTGTCATGTACCACTGCAAATATCCGCTTTTAAGGTTTATTGATGACTTCATTTTCATGTCAACGTCAAAGAAACAGGCCTCTTTGTTCTTCTCCCGGTTGCAAGGAGGATTTCATGGATACAACTGCTATATGAATAAAGGGAAATTTGGTGTAAATTTTGATATGGATCATGTATCAGGATTCAGGTCAAATATACTCTATATGGGTTAACTCTATGGTTGACCATAGAGTAAATTTTGAAATGAAGCTTATGGATTTGAAGCTCAAGATAAAATAGCTGATTTGGATTCCTATTTTCGTGAAACAATTTTGCCTCCTACTTATTCATGTATATTTATATTTAGCTGTGTACACAAATTAACTGACAAACATTTTTGTTCCATGAATCCATATGTCTAAGTGGGCATATTTTCTGTTTATCCCAACGCGCGCAGCGCGTTTTGTGCCTCCTAGTAGATGAGATAAATTACCAAATCAAGAACTCTGTATAGAAGATACCTCAAATTCAAGCAAAAAGCCAGTAACAGGTAAAATATGACTTGAACGATTGTATATAGGAAGCCAATAATGAAAAACAACAACCAAGCAACTTAATGGACATCAAATGAAACAAAGGCACAGCACCTGCGGTCCAGGATACCCTCCGACTGGCCATCCAATAGGCCATTTAACTTCCTTCTGCAGCAAGGTGTACTCTTGCTCGATTCCATGCCTGCATAGAGACTAGCTTTATAATGTGAGTCAACAATGTCATGATAAGCCTTGTCAGCTCCAGCCCTGCAATAGTATGGTCCCTGTGAGTTAGATGAGATAAATTACCAAATCAAGAACTCTGTATAGAAGATACCTCAAATTCAAGCAAAAAGCCAGTAACAGGTAAAATATGACTTGAACGATTGTATATAGGAAGCCAACAATGAATAACAACCACCAAGCAACTTAATGGATATCAAATGAAACAAAGACAGCACCTGCGGTCCAGGATACCCTCCGACTGGCCATCCAATAGGCCAGTTAACTTCCTTCTGCAGCAAGGCGTACTCTTGCTCGATTCCATGCCTGCATAGAGACTAGCTTTATAATGTGAGTCAACAATGTCACGATAAGCCTTGTCAGCTCCAGCACTGCAATAGTATGGTCCCTGTGAGTTAGATGAGATAAATTACCAAATCAAGAACTCGGTATAGAAGATACCTCAAATTCAAGTAAAAAGCCAGTAACAGGTAAAATATGACTTGAACGATTGTATATAGGAAACCAATAATGAATAACAACAACCAAGCAACTCAATGGACATCAAATGAAACAAAGACACAGCACCTGCGGTCCAGGATACCCTCCGACTAGCCATCCAATAGGCCATTTAACTTTCTTCTGCAGCAAGGTGTACTCTTGCTCAATTCCATGCCTGCATTATTTCATTTGATTAACTTATATGTCTGAACAAAACATTATAAAAAAAATTCGTGAACCGTGATCAGTAAAAGTAAAAAGAGTTAGAACATACCAAGGTTCCTCGGCAACAACTTCAGAACTGCTAAATATGCTTCAGAACTGCTAAATATCTTTGCAGCATTTTGCTTCTCGTTTGTTAGAATAGGTTCCCCAGCAGGACTGTAAGCATCACATATAACTTAGTCATCACGATAAAAAAATTACATTGAAACTTAAAGCAGAATAAGATCGACTAGTCTTAAATCGAGCAACTAGTACTAGATAAAAAGGCCCTCACAAAAATGTTATTGCCCCTCCTGAATGGATCATTAAATATTGCCTGAGGACTATATTTTGGCACCAAATTTAAAAAAAAAAAAAAAAAAAGAAACGTATTAGTAAGTCTCTTGCAAATAAAATAAAAAAATAAAAGCGAAAATAAAAAGGACAACAAAAAAGTACTGAAGTATTAAAACAACACAGTTAAAAGAAACAACATATTATAAGACCACTTCCCTATTGACCAGTGCTTGACCAATCATAGTTCCACATGGGAAGCTTAGCAGGATCATTAACTGGTCCAGCTAGAGTCTGATTCACAGAAACAATAAATCAACAACAACATCAGAAGAAGATCAAAAATTACACCCAAAAAGCTTGACTAAACTAATCATTGTTAATCAATACAGGAATTACTCTGGCTTTGCTTCTGACGTACATATTAGATCCACCGATCCTGGGGCTCAATAGTCAAACACCATACAGACATCAAAAGAAAGAGAAACACTCAGTGGGGGAAAAAAAAAAAGAAACAAACAAGTGGGGCAAGACATTGCACTAGGAATACTTGCAAGGTTCCTCAAAGAGCAGGAGGGGAAACCAGATGTTTGTAACAATCTGCAAAGCATGTTTAAACCTGAAAATATTTGACAACTAAGTCATTCATTTAGAATGCACTTCTATGAGCATTCCCACAAGCAGCATTCCACCAAAGCAGATGCTTCCTTCTGTGATTTTTACATTCCCATTTTTTCTGGGCATTCTTAAGAAGGAGGAGAAAGGGATTATACATATATAGGTTGTGTATTAAACAAGCAAAATAAAACACAACCACCAAAATTGCATTTCAAAACAAAACAAATGAAAAAAAGAATATACAGGAGCGACTATATGACTCTTGCTGCTTTCTGAATGCTTGAAGAGTTGATGAATTAAAGGTCTTTCTCAATCGTATGCCTTCTCCCAATCGTCCACTACATCAGATATCTCATTGATCCCTGCTCCTTGTGGTTGTCCAGGCAGAACTGAACTACTTGAACTCGGCTTAACACTGGAAACTAGAGGAGTTCCTGGCTTGTTCCTAGAATCGTCATTCCTGCCAGATGATGTAGACGAACTATTTTCAGAATCTAGAACACTCCATCTGTTTGTGGCAGATATCGGAACTTCATTTCCCTTCCGAATGGATGAGTGCACATCAACAGAATTATCTGACCAGTCCTCAGCACCCCATGAACTCTCCCTCCCATCAGGTTCCTGCATTACAGCTTTCTTCCAAGGATTCGTCTTGAGAGCTGTAACTGCACCACCATCCTTGGATGGTCCCGTTGCTCCCCAAGCATTGGCTGCAGCTGCAGCTGCTACGGCTGTAGCTGATGCTCCACCATGGTGAGGAACTACAACAGCACCATAATACAATGAACCTTGATCCAATCTTCTCATGGCAGTTGCTGCTCGGGCAGGATCACTAAAAACAGCCAAAGCATTCTTGTCATTCAGCCAGACCAGCTCACATTCACCACCAAACCTCAGAACCAATGCGCTAATGTCGGCATCCCTAGGCAAATCAAATAGAGCGACAACAAGCCTGGGATCCATGTCTACCAGAGGATCGAAAACTGGTGGCTGCAACATGTTACTGGCAAGACAGCCCTTCAGACCAAGTATGCGAGCGGGAGCTTTGGACTTTGGTGTGACATGAAGAACAATGAATCTTTTTGGCTCCCAACCAGCAGCATTTACTGAAAGTTTCCATCTTTCGGCTATTAACCTGACAATGTCTCTCTTTTCCTTTGACATTGGGCAAAAGACATGAACTTTAACAGCATTAATTCCACCTCTGCCCCTTCCTAGAACCAGATATTTGCATCTCTCTTCCACAGACAGCACCCATTTAGGTTCCCTACGTAGTAGATCACTGAGCACTTCAGAAACAACAGCATTCTCACCAAAGTGAAGTGCATCCAAGTTTGGAGTTGTAACACCAAAAGCATCAGCAAGCACCTTTTTTCTTTCAGTCTTTGCACATTCATCATCGCACATCAGTTTCCTCTGACCAAGTGGCACCTTTACATTACCTTCAACAGGTTGAAGAGGCGCCGGCAACTTCTGGACTATAGAAGCTTCTAAAACTGTATCGCTGCTATACCCACCACCACTGCCTCCAGCATCACAAGGAACAGTAGCATTTATTCGCCCACAAGAACATGTAATCGAAACAGGAAACTCACATCTTACATCAGGACAGGAACCAGTTGGGTGACAAAGAGCAGTGCATGTATGCCGGCAATCCCTCCTCGGAGCACCACAGGGCTGCCCACAAGAAGCTCTTGAGCCAATACTAGTTCCACTAGGAGTATCACAAGGTGAAGGATGACAAGTTCGAGCACATGCATGCAAACCACACTGCCTCGTCTTACCACAAAGTTTGTTACATCGTATATCCTTTGAACCACAAGGAATGTTCCTCAGGACCACATGTCCACCAATGCACTCTTTTGCTATAGGTATCGTGCAGGGTGGGCAGTCTCCAAGGTGGCAGCTGTGAGTGGATGGATGGCCACAAGGCTGAGGAACTGAGCAGGGATACTGACAAGAAGGAGGAGGTGTACCACAAGGCAGTGGAGGAGGAATTGATGTCCTTCCACAAGTGCAAGTCAAGTCGGTGAAAATTGTATCTAGGCAGGGAGGACAATGGCCACTGTGACAGAATGAGTGGCAGGAATGCTGCCTGCACCTTAACTTCTTACCACATGGCATTGAGCACAAGTGTGGATCCCAATCACCAGAAAAGGATTTGTTTGGATTTGACAAAGGACAGCACCTCTCGCTGCATCGGTGCCTCCCACAATTTTTCTTCTGCCCACAAGGTCTGTCACAAGTAAAATTTTCATTTTCTGCTGTTGTTCTGTAGCACTCCACAGTCCGAGAAGTCGAACCACAGCGGCATTTTTGAGTAACCAAAACAGGACAAGGTGCACAAACTCCAGTATGACACATCTCTTTACAATGATGAACCCCACAGGGCAGGCTTTTACCACAGGTTTGTGAACATGTTGAAATTGGGTCCAGACAACTCTCTCGATCTTCCTTTAACCTCATTTTACCACAGCAGCATGTTTTAATTTTACTTGGCAACAAGTCACATTCTCCACACGGTCCAGGATGGCATATATCATCACAAAAATGATTCCTGCAGCCCAATTTCTTCTCACAGATAGAACTACAAGAAAAGACACCATCGTCTGCTCTAATTTCTCCTTTCACAACCATGTCTCCACAAAGCACAACCTCAATCTTCTTCTTGCAAAAACATGAGGCATTAACCAGCACGTCACATGGATCACAAGGACCAACATGGCAAGTCCGCTCACAACGATGACGCCCACAATCAAGAAGCTTATCACACCGCTGTCCACATGTAAGAACAGACTTTCGATCAGAGCATCTTGTAGTGATTACTTGCTTCCCACAGGGGCACCACCTTGCCGGAGCAAAAGCTTTACAAGGAGGACAAGGACCAGGATGACATTGCAGGACACATAGATGAGGACAAAGATCCTCCTTTGCCATACCTGAACCAGGAACTTCCTTCTCAAGTGCCTTGCCACAAGGCTCTCCACAAGAATGGGGAGTCAAATACAAATCAGGAGGAGGATCCTGCCTTTTCCCACAAAAACAAACATACCGAATCTCCTTCGAGGACATGAGCTGTACAGCTTGACAACCAGGGCACCTCCAGTTACACCCCTGACCCTTCTCTGCTGACAAGTCGACTGAAGTAGGAGCCCTTGCCCATTTCTTAATACATGCTAAGTGAAAAATAGAATAACAGCTAGAACATGACCAGATTGGTGCAGACCTCCTTACCATATCATAACAAATCATGCACTCCACAGAACCTTTCATCAACTTATCCTGAATTTCTTGGACAAGTAAAGGTAAGTTAAGATCCTTCGACCCTTTTACCTCTCTACTATGATCCCTCTGCTTCTCTTTATCCCGCTCCCTCCTCTGATTCGAATGCTGACGCATAATGCATCTGGCTCCTGAAGTGCTCCTGGTCCTGTTAGCAGGTGGAACTGACCTGCCATTCTGGTCCCCATTGTTTCCATTTCTAATCACATCATCAGCAGCCACCGCAGGGCTGTAATTGGTAGGAGGTATAGCGGCAGTGGTGGGAGTGGGAGCAGCGGTGGTGGCAATGGGAGCCGGACCACGCAGGACCCACTCACGTCGAGCACCTTGAACAGGACTAGTAGTTCTATTCCTTGACCGATTATCTCTTCTGTTGCGCTGTACTGGAAAGCTCATATTCTGATTTGAAGATGTGAAATTCCTAATATCCCTAATTGCCAGACAGTCGAAATTTTAACCACAAGAATCAACCCAACACAACCTTCAACCGCTAATTAATCTGTAGAAAGTAAAACAGAAATCCAACTTTAAAAGAAACAGAACAAGTGACCATTCTGAGAAAGGCGTTCTATGAACAAAACAGTTAATTCAATTCTACAACTAAATTGACAAGAGAAACAAGAAAGGCACAAACTTAATGGCTTATCTTACACTATTAAACGATCAGAAACCGAAAAACCAGACAGAAAGATCCGAAATCAAGCATCACATGTAAATCTCCACATAAAAATGAAAAGTACAGAGCATTCGATCGTTGAAAATGCTGAAGCAGGAACAGATAAGTACCTGACGAAGAACGGTCGACGATAATTCAGGCAAAAAATGGAACCCCAAAAAATGTTACTTCAGATTATTCGTTAAGTATAAACCAGACCCAAGTAGGTTCTTGCGATTTTTTCTTTTTATTGTGCCACAATGTTCTCTCTTTGACAGAGAGGAAGGAGAATCGAAGGGAGAGGGATGCAGAACTGGGAGGATTTATAGGGGGAAGAGGGAGGGGAAAATCAAGAAAATCTGGCTTGGAGGCCAAGGCGGTAAGATTGGACAGTTGCCAGAAGTTTGAGGTGGCAAATGGTAATATAAGCAAATTGTGAGTCGGTCAATGAACCGTAGGATTAGGCTACTGATCTCGTTGTGTACGGTATGCGTGGGGCTCAAACCATACCTTTATCATTTTCAATGTCAAAGTGTATATTAACCTATAAACGTATAATCTTAAGTTTTTTTTTTTTTTTTGGGAAAAGTTGGTTCAAAAACCATCGTATGCTATGACTGAAAACCACCGAGTTTGAACATTTAGATAATATCAAAATGTATATTAAAGTATATTCTTATCCTCGTACTATATAAGAATGAGTTGTGATTTTGAATTTCAACCGCATGGATAGGGGCATTTTGGGGATGTGAATTGATGTGCAGTTTTTATAAACATTTTGGTACAACTGATAGCAGCATGTTTTTGGATATGTTTACGGAAATGTCCTCATATTTGTACATTTAAAACTTTTATTTATAGAGATATTTGGGTAATTTTGAAATGTGGAATTATTTTACAAACTTTTTGCATTGAGTACAACTCATATAAGTTTATGTGTTGGTATAATTACTGAAATGATGTTATAAATGTAGACACCAAAATTTTTCCATTTTTATTTTCTTCATTTTATTCCTATTTTTGTTCATTTTAGTTAAATTTTTATTTATTTTTATTTATTCTGTTTCATTTCTATTTCTTGAGAAAAATCTTCTTTTAGAAAAATCGAGAAAAGCAAAGAAAAAAAGAGAAGAAAAAAAGAAAACAAAAGAGGAAAATTGCAGTTTAAGGAAAAAAAAAACCGAGGAGTTGCACGCCGTTCATGGCTTCGTACCAGAAGGCATGGTACCAAGTTTTTGCAGCTAGCATTTGGAGCCACTCATTTTTGCAATTTTTTTCTTTCCTTATAAGCCCCCCAAGGGACCAGATCATCTTCCAATTCTTATCCAAAATCTGCTATCTAATGGCTTCAAATCATCCCCAAAAATCTGTTTCATCACACCCATTGACATTAGGGTTGGAGAGAGCTTTGATTCCATATAAATAGATAAAAACGGGGTCTAAGAAAGAGATAACAAAAGAAACAAGAGGGGAAGCGGTGGAACAAGAAAAAGAGAGAAAGCAGGGAGAGAAAAGGAGAAAAAAAAGTGCAGAAATTTTTCTGGAAAAACTTGAGCCAGGGTTGTGAAGATCCAACTTTTCCTTAGGGCGAATCCTAGAGTTACGGCGGGTTGCTTGCCTAACTTTCATCAGGATTTGATACAAGTCAAGATTTATAACTTAGAACTAAACAACCAGTAAGAAAATTAATATAAAGAAAAGTCGCTTCCTTCAATAGTCATCAAATTCTACATTACAATATTTCCAAAAGTTACATCAAATTTCCCCAAAATACAACCATCAAAAGTTGACTAAATCATTTACATCCACAATTGGACCAAAAGAAAATCAAAGCCAGCTTCTCCAAAACCTTTCCACTTCAAGTTCCTTCTAAGGAAAACAAACTACAGGAGTAAGCTAACGCTCAGTGAGGCCAAGAAAAGCAGGCAAACAAATAAATACAACTAGCATTAAAGCTTATACAAGAAGGCATCCATAATATTCATGTAACTCACAAAGGAAAACAAAACACAATCAATAAGGATACGGGAGCTCTCAGGAGCTAAATCCTCATTTGCTTTGCCAAGGTTTGATCCAACACTTCCAAGTGGTGACACTCCGTCAACCGAGTAAATACACAAGTTTGTAAAACCCCACTTACTTTCTCTATTCACCATTTCATCCTCTCGGATCCGGAATCAAACACACACGAAATGGCAATATTACTCGAGTATGTCAAGCAAGATCTCAAAAGATCAAGCTATATAATTTTCCATGATTCACCAAGCTTCTCGACCAAGCCCATGCCGGCTTGAGTTACAAGGTTAGTCAATGGAATTTGGGCTTCCCCACAAGTACAAGTGCAAGTCGATGAGATTTTTCTCAAATCGACACCAAGTCATGCACAAGCACGAATATGATTATCAAGTACGAGCAAGTCATTTATCAAGTCAAGCAAGAGAAAACAAGTGCGATAAAATACATACTCATCTCGATAAGTCCAATTCACATATTCAACAAGAAGTAGTTCAAATATTATACAACACGTCATGCACTTGACACTCACCAATTTCAAAAGCAAGTGAGTAAGAAATTCCTTTAAAGTTCCTCGCCGAGATTCCTTTCTAAACCCTTTTGAGCACCTGAAGAAATATTAACCAACCATCACTCACGGATACCCTAGGTCATTGAGCATACAAAGAAGAAAGTTCGTTTGCTTAGAACTAGGACAACGCATCAAAAGAGTTTTATTCCATTGAAACCCGAGATTCCCAAATGAAGGTTTAAAGTCACAAAAGAACTTGTATCATCCATGAAATCAAGTTTGAAATGAACTATCAATTTTAAAAGGAACTTCCAAGTTCATAAAAGTTCATTTTGTTGGAAATCAAAAATTTCCAGCTTTACGCGACAACACTTGAAAATTCATATCTTGAGTTCAGTAAGTCCAAAAACTAGAAAATTTATACCGTTGGAAACTAAATTCAAAGTACTAAAACTTTCCAGAAGATACTTTCTCTGATTCAAATTAGAAGGCATTCAAATCTCAGCTCAAACTTACTGTTTTATTAAAATAGGGCAGAAACAGTCTTGATTTTTCAATAAAATTTGAAAATTTGGCAAAATTCACAGGAATTGAATTAGCCTCTGAAATTATAACACAGCAAGAACTTCAAGTCATGTTTCAAACACAACAAACGGAACTGAGTTTGGATTCTCCAACACCAAGATACAATAGTTTAAGAAAACTGGTTTTCGCAACTTGTTCCGCGATTTTCAGTCACAAAGTTTCGACACAGTTTTGAAATCAGGTCATAACTAACTCTACACAAGTCCAAATTGGGAATGGTTTATGGCGTTGAAAACTAGATTCAAAATTTTATAAATCATCAGAAGAAATAATGTTCAAATTCTTTTCATAAGAGGGATGAAATTGAGCCACAAGATGCAGCTGTATGATTTTCTCGGGTAAATAGGTGAAGTAAATCAGTCCACTTTGCCAGTTCGCTACGACTCACTCAAAACGAATTAGCAGGGGGAATTTTATACCATTGGAAAGCTCTTGTGTGTAGTTTCAAATGCTGTAAACGGTACTTGATTTGAACTTTTGTACAAAGATTTATGTGCAATCAAAGAGCCCCTGGTCGGTTGACCTGGCTACTTTTCCAGTTTTCTTTCTTTCTTCAAAACTCAAGTTTTATCCAACCAATTGAAATGATTTTTGAAAGATAATTTTTACACACACAATACAACATATAACAAGCATTTTAGCAGCCATTTGAGCAGCAAAATTTTAAATCAAATCAAGGGAACAAGACAGCAAATTTCGATCAGCCCCTCCCCTTAAATTCTTCAAGATTTCTCTCCACAACCAAGCCAATATAAAGCCATACTTCACAAGAACAACAACCAACAAGCAATAACCCTCAAGTCCACTATCTAAAAGGCCACCTCAAGACCACTACCTAAGATATAAAGCAAGAAACAAGGGTTTCCTCAAGTCCTCTAGTTTAGGTTTTTGGTTAGGGTTTTCAAACCCATGTAAATCAACCACTAACCATTACTAATCCTTGTAAATTTAAAAAATAAAAAAAAAGATGGGCTTGTTACCTCTTCAAGCTTCTTGAACGCTAGTTGAAGGCAAGATTTTTCACTAGCACTCCACCAAAAACCACCACAAGATAGCACCTTTTCTCTAGGTAAAGCAATATCCAAAGGTCTTGAGGGTTGGGTGTTGATCTTTAAGCAAGATCAAGAGCAAAAGATGAAACTTTTTTCTTCCTCCTTTTGAGCTCCCAATTTTCGACCAAGAGAGAGAGAAAGTGAGGGAGTTGGAGTGTTTGATTTATGGTGAAAAGGTTGGAAGAAAATTAGCCTTTTGTTTGGTGAAAAAAAGTCAACTTCGAATAGTGGTATAATAGTGCTATGCACTACCAATTTCCCTCTTGTTTGTAACACTTAAATACTAATCATCCAAGGTAGTTCCTCTAGTATTACAAATATTTATACTTACTAGTCTAAAATTAATTTTTCAAATCTCCGATTAGTCACACCGTTGCGACTTTTGAAAAAATTTGATGTGTAAATGATAAAAGTATAATTTAAGTAAAATTCATTCTAATATAATAAAATTAAAAAACACCAATGCAAATAATTTTTTAAAATAAGCTAAATTAAGAATAAATAAATAAAAAAATGAGTCCTCACAAGGGTTGAGCAGGAAACCCGGTTCAGAGGCCATTTTCTTCTTCATTTCGACTTCTTTTTTCATCAATTTTTTTCCATACCCTATAGACGTAGGAGAAGAACTTTTATGTTGAAGGTTTTGTGAGAATACAACTTTAAAACTACCAAATTTGACGTCAAATTTGGGAGAAAACCAACCCTGGTATCCGAAATTCTTGGAGTTTGAAATCAAATTTGCAGCCGCAAAGTCCGTTCGTTTTGATTCATTTTTGATCGATATATCTAGGTAGATGTTCCTAAACTTCGGCCCCTTTATTTGTTTTGTTGGAATGCAGTTTTGTGGGATTTCCTTGCTGTTGGGTTTGCTCCGTCTCTCTACCATGTTTTCTAGATGATTTTCTTGCTGAACATTTCCTTTTTTGTTTGTGAATCTTGGGTTTTGAGCCATGGATCTTGTGTTGCTGCGTTGTTTCTTGTTGGGTTGAGGTTCCTGTTGTGTTTTAGCTGATGAATCCATGGGTTTTGCTAGAGTTCATGGCTGTTTTTCCTACATTGAATAAGCTTCTGAAGTTGCAGAAGAAGATAGGTTCGAACAACTTTGCATGAAGGTTCAAAAAATTACATTTTGACCCCTAACTTTTGCATAATTATATTCTGGCCCCAAATTTCTACAAACCATTTTGATCCCTTTTAAGTTTTAATCATCTTTTGCATA